AACCCCTCTCTCTCAGTGCAGTGTTAATGTACTGGAGTGTCCAGTCAGTCAGTGTGTCTGTATTAACCCCTCTCTCTTAGGCAGTGGAAGCCGCCCAGCTGGCGGAGGATCTGAAGGTGCAGTTAGAACACACGCAAGCCAAGCTGAAGGAGATCCAGAACTCTGTGTCTGACAATCGTAGCGCCCGAGAGAGGGAGTCCTTCAACCTGAAGAGGGCACAGGTACTCGCTGGCTATAAAACACCGAGTGCTGACACTGGAGCTCTCATGTCCTCTGACCCCTGACCCTTGACCCCCTGCCTGTCTGTCTGCAGGAGGACTTGTCTCGGCTGCGCCGCAAGCTGGAGAAGCAGAAGAAGGTGGAGGTCTACACGGACGCTGATGAAATCCTGCAGGAGGAAATCAACCAGTACAAGGTGAGAGGGACAGGGAGACTGGGAACTCAACTGGGAGTCCAAGAGCTCTACTGGGAGTGTCAGGACTGGACTGCGAACTGCAGTGGGAGACTCAGGGCTGGACTGGGAGACTCAGAACTCCAGTGGAAGTGTCAGGGCTGGACTGGGAGAGGCTCTGCTCCAGTGACTGGGAGGTGGGTGTGGAGGAAAGGTGGGAGGAGCCTGGCTGACGAATCCCATGTCTCCCTGCAACTCAGAGCCGGCAGCGTGCGACCACAGTCTCCTCCATGTCCCCCTGCCCCTCTCCTCTGCCTGCATCTCTGGGCAGCAGGAGTGTCGTCAGAGTGGTACTGCCTCTCTCGGGGCCTCAATAACCCCCCCCTCTCTCCCTCTCACCCCCCCCCAGGCCAAGCTGCGCTGTCCGTGCTGCAACACTCGCGACAAGGAGACGGTGCTGACCAAGTGTTTCCACGTCTTCTGCTATGAGTGTCTGAAGACGCGCTACGACACGCGCCAGAGGAAGTGCCCCAAGTGCAACGCCGCCTTTGGCGCCAACGACTTCCACCGCATCTACATCAACTAGGGAGCAGGGGAGAGAGAGAGGGCGCCCGCTCCTGGAGAGCAGGGACATGACCTAGTGAGAGAGAGAGGG